CAAGTTAAACCATTATGTTAAAGATAAAGAATTTTTACTTGCAACATCTCTTTAGAAAGCTAATCCATCAATAAATCCCAACCATAGTCAACCTTCTGTATTTTCCTGCCACAGCCATGTATATTTATCCCAAGTTTTTTCACACCCATAAGGGCAACTTTCCAATCAAGCAAAGTATAGGCAACGTACAACAAAGAGGATGTATAGCCAGTGTCACTAGGAGAACACAGTGTAAACATACATGTATATGTAATATATTTGTTTCTGAGAAAATTTGTGGCAAGCCTAAACTAAAAGGTACATCAAACAAACAAAGGTTCAAAAATACAAACATAATGCAAGACAGTCAACCTAATCAGCAGCAGAGACAACAGCAGAGGTCTTCCCTTCCATCCTCCTCCCCCTAACTTGTGCATACCATGAAGGCAACTTCTAAATTCATTGAAAAGGCTCTCCACCATTCACAAAACTTTTATCTAGCATAGGAGACCTGAATGTATTTTATGTATTTTCCACTGATTTTACTATTAAGTTGGTTTAACCTCAGAACTTTTTTTTTTTTTTTGGTAGCAAAAAAGTGACAGGGTCTCCATAGTAACTTTTTAATTAGCCTTGATTACTTTGGTGCTTTGGGAAAAATACTGGTAATACTTCAAAAGAAGTCACAGCTCATGCAAACACAAAATTAAGATTATGTATATATGTTCTTCAAACCCCAAATCCAGACAGTCAGCTTAACTACTGGATGCTGTATCAGCAAATTCAACAGAAAGCATGGGTCTTTGCAGGATCAGTACCTATGCCAGTTCAGAGTCCAGCACAATAGCTTTCCAACCCCAAGTAGGACTTTTCATTGCTATTATATCTAGCAGTAGTGGCAAACATTGTAGAGTAGCATTACATACAGTATTACAAAACATTTCATTATTTAAAAAAATGCTGACTTGTCTTTGTAGTTTTCCAAAACTCTTAACTATTTTGATTTAAATTGTTCAAAGACTATAGAGTAACATCTTTTTCTTCACTGAGGAACAGGCCTTTTAAAAAAAAGAAAAAAAGGCAAACCAAAAAAACCCACAACAACAAAACAACAACTGCATAGTATCACACAGTTAACCCTAGCAATGGCACAATTCCATTGCAGAACAAGACAAAGTCCAGACTGCTACGATTTCGGTCTCCCCTTCTCCCCAGCCAAAAACCCCTATAGCCTTTCCTTTGAGTCAATTCTGGCACTACTATAATTGCCCACTAAGCTAACACCAGGAGCTGATCTACTTGTAAACTCACATGGCAAAATGAAGAAAAGCCATCAGTTTTCATGTGTAAACTCAGTGCCAGCTTCCTCTCATAAGAAGAGGTCAGATGTAAAGCAACCACGATGGTGGGGGCATGCATGCATTCTTATATTAGGACTTGCTTTAAAAATAAAACATGACAAATACAATAAATGAGTAATCATGTCAGATACTCTTTCCTTCCTCCTGGACACTTGCTCTGTCCCACCAAGTAACATCACTTCGGTAGGGTGGCACTTGGGCACAATACCACTAATAGCTGGATCTCCTCTGCATGTTCATGTGACAGACAACAATGAAATTACTCTCATGCTGTGAACAACCAAACTTCAGTACATTCTATGCTGCTCACTGACATACCAGGAAATTTCAAATTCACACATGGAAACAAACTATTTTAAGACAATCTGTGAACTGTATCACTGCCCCACCAATAACATAACTCTTCACAACGTTAAAAATCCCCCACAAAGTAATTAAATCCTCTGGTCAGTTCAGGCTTCAGGGGAAAGTAGATGGCAGCAAGACAGGGTTTTAACCTCTCTCACTATCCCTTTATACCCATCCGATGTTTGCCTACCCAGGGCAAATATAGAGGAGGGAGAAAAAGGGAAGGAGGAAGAGAGGACTCCAAGGCCGAAAAAAGTCCCTAACTGATTGAGCTCCAGCCTATCCATGGGATTCAAAGTGACACCAAGACCTCTGCCTTCTCCCAGAATATGGGACCCATTATCCCAGCACAGTCCTCTCATCACCACCACTCCCCACTGGTGCCATACATGCAACTCTCTTGCTTTAACATACATCTGGGAGAACATGCACCACTCTAGCTTGGCGGAGAAAAATGCAGTTTGCCTCCATCCCCTCATATATTTTATTTCTGAAGCAGGCATGCAAATAACACCATCTTGACTCTAGTAAAAGATACGGAGGCAAAGAAACATTTGACCTAAATCAGACAGTGCAAGACTAGCATCAGTACCCGATAACTCCAGTTTCACTTGAATCAAACACAAGATTTTACTTGCTACTATTTTTGAGGCAGATGAGGAATGTTACTTATGCTCTGGTGAAGCAAGTCTGAGAGTCTGCAAGAAGAAATATGCCAGAATATTGCCAACCAGTAGAATAGCTAACAACAACAACAACAAAAAAAAACAAACAAAAAACCCCAAATACTGTACTTTTTCTTTGCTTTTATCTATAAACAGAAATAAATACCTTAACATGCAGAACAGTTATGTTCTCTGCAAAGCCATGGAAACATTTAGTGTGTGAAATCACTCTTCTCACATTACAGCTTTGAGAAGGTGGCAGGCAAGTTCACCAACTATTGTAAATAAACTTTAGAGGTTACCTAAGAAAAATTACTCAGGTGGTACCATAGCACCACCTGTAGTCTAAGGAGAGCCCTACAGCACATTTGGCCATAATGACAACCACACAATCACCATTACTTTCAGACTAGTTTTCTTGCCTTGGGAAATCATGCTGTTTGTGTATCTTCTAACCATCTGATTTAATTAACCACTATTGGCCAAATATAACAAAGAAGTCTTAATTTGTTCCTACAGATCTTGTGAAAACAGGTGACATAACAGAAAAGGATCTTGTTAATGCTGAACTGGGAAGGCAGGACACAAGTTTGTATCTTTATGAACACTAGAAAAATTTTATTCCTGAGAACTCTGCAAACAGCCCTACTGCAGAAAAAACTTGAGACAGAGCACACCCCTCTGATTTTGCCAAAGGCAAATCAACCACAAGAGACTAAACCACATGAAACAAGAAGTCATTAGTTCCAGTGCTTATGGAACTATTTATTTTTTCAGTGATCTCACTGGCCTGGCAGGGCACAGGGTGGGGTGCTGATGCTCTTGTGGGGCCTGGCAGAGTGGATCCTCCAGCACTTGCATTAGGTCGCAGTTCCAAGGCAGTTTTAAACTAGGACAAGTTACCTCGTTATAAGAGACCAGTGAAAACACTGTTTTCCTTCTGTTTTTAAGTGAGTAACCTCTTTGAAGAGTATAACTATCAAACCTCTTCACCAGGCTGAATGAACTGATCTTTAAAGACTGTACGCTGGTTCCTTCCTCAACAGGCACTACCTTGTTTGTTTCTTGCTATGTCTGATGAGAGGGCATGGAGCCCAAAAGTATTCAGAACACGCTCCGATCTCACACCTGAATTACATACATACATATACAGTGGGATCCAGTATGACTTATATAACATTCAGACATTTTCTTCTGGGTGATTTAGTAAGCTGTTCTTTAATTTGTTAAAAACCATAGCAGATTTATCACAAAACATGCAGCACTAGAAGTCACATAACAAAACAGCGATCTACAGAACTACTCTTGTTAGCAGCTGATGAGATGATCTAACTGGAGCTGTCTGGTCTCCTTAGAGGAAGGAAGGCACAGGTTGTAAATCAAGTTTAGAAATTCAGCATGTTCAGTTTAGGGTTTGTGTGCAAAGACTGTATCTCAACTCAGAGCTCAAATCAATGCCAGTGAACACAAAGACTCCGTTTCACCAGTGAAAGCCTTGTACAACACTGCACTAGATACACAGGGTCTGACCTAAAGCAACTATACCAGCTTAGTCATGCTGGTATCAATTTTTCTTATCCAGATGACACCAAACATATGATCATAAGCAGGAAACCTCTGGAATGAAAACCAGTTATAATTTTAACAGATTACCAGCCTAGCATTTGTAATGTTCGTGTACTGTTTACTTTTATGAACCAGAGACTAATGAAATCGGCAAACCTATAAAATGCACTGCTGGCAAACCTAAATTAGATTATAGTATCGGTTGTTACACAGAATTGTTGGTTCATAAATACTGTTGCAACTGGAGTTGGGAAACATTAATCAAAGCTAATTTCTTGTTTGCTGCCAAGAACTGCAGGTTTTCTCCCCCACAGCCAGTGAAAACCATCCTCATCTTAATTAGGCATACACCCAAAAAGTGAAAACTACAAGTGTGACAACTGGAGTTACTATTTGCCAAGGACAGTTTAAACCCAATGCTTACAAGGAAAACTGGAAGTGCATAGTTTTCACATCAGTCTTTTTACAGGCAGCTCCCAGCCTCAATTTTTAATGAGCAAAATGCTTCTCATTAATTTTACCCTAGTAATATAGAAGAGGCTGTAGCCAGGATGCATAAATCGGAAATATTGGGAAAGTTGCAAGACCAGTACCATTAAAAAAAACAACAAAAACATCCTGACAGTTCTGAAATGCAACAAAAAATAAATAACCAAGAATGTTTCCAACAAGTAACTACTGTACGTCATGCCAGGGTATATTTCAACCAGAATCTGAAAAGACAAAATACAGAATTTCTTCGATTTGCATATGTAGATGACAACATGATTTTTTTTTTAAACTGAGTCAAATTGTTGGCAATGTATCTACAACTCGAGCTCAGTCATAAAAAGAGAGAGAAATCTTCTAGATTTTCAAAGGCCTGCAAACAAAAATAAGAGAGGGAGAAAACTGAGGTATGGAATTTGAAGCAGGACAGGGAGCAAAAAGTCTGTTAACCATTGCTGTTGATAACATCATGAGCCTTGGGAAAAAATACAGTCATCTATCATTAAAAATAACAAATGAAAAGACCACTGAAGATCACATAGGGACATGTTAAAGTT